ACAGAGAAAAGGAGGACACAGCGAGGTGCAGAAAAGATGTAGACTACTTAGGAAAATGCTATTACATACACACCCCTGCATTATCAGTAATAACAAACACTAACCTAGGGGTGAATATGGAGTACACAGGCAGTCAGGTGAGAAGATCAGGTGTGGGTAGGCAAACTGGAATATGCTCATGACCATACATGGGTTTGGATGATGATCGTGCATATTTGTATGTGTACAAAAATATCCATGTACAGTATAGAGCTAACAGGGGCAATGTTGGGATAGCTCCTTAGCCACAACCAAGCACTTCAGGGACTGAGTGCTGGGCCTGTAATTTCAGGACCATGGTTGTGGGGGACATCAAGCTCAATTGACACAACACAGTACACAAAAACCTTGCTCTACATGCATCCTACTTTGAGTATTGACTAGGGCTTTAAAAACTTACAAGCAGCCATCTAAGATAAAATGACTGGCCTCTCCTCGTCTGGAGCAAAGAAGAGTGAAGAAAATCAAAGATACGTGGAAACAATTAGTCCCAGGGACTGATGGACAATAGGAACCTAAGTTTACATGATCCTGAGACCAGAGGAACTAGGTGGTGCCTGACTACCAATGCCAACCACTCAGAAAGAGAGAAAAATCAGAGATCCAATGGGAGAAAAAAATAGGGAATAAAATTCAAAAACAAAAAAGACAAGGAGTACTGGTTGGATGGAGAGTGGTGAAAACCCCAGGACTGTGGCCCTGAATCACCCTTCCAGCCTGGAATTGGACTCCCTCCTGAGGCTCAACTCTATGCCAAACCATAGACATCCCTAGGAGGTAAACAGCTACACAGGAAGATGCACTCCTTGGATCAGTCAACCGCAGGAAACCAGAGGGCAGCATTTGCACAGGGAGAAAGTTAGGCAGGCAGGAATGCATCCGTGATAAGGACACAGGGCAGGACAACCACAGGGAGGAGGTGGGGAGGGGTGTTACGTTGTGGGGATTGGAATTGGTGTCGTGAAACAAAATGTGTATGAACTGTTGAGTGTAAAACGAATTTGCTTTGCAAAATTGCCCAAAAATCACAATAAAAAGTTAAACAATAATAATAATAAACACTATCTTGAAGCTGATTTCTGACCCCAACTACCCAGAAGTAGGCTACTCTTCACTGGAGCCCCTCGATAAACAGACAATTATGCTTCAGGAGAATGAACTTCTCAGGGACGGACAGGACCCAGCGAGATGCACCTGATTCACTGCCAGCTCCCGACGGGTCAGATCTCAGCACTTCCTGCTTCCCGCGTGAGAGCCCTTCAGGCTCAGGGATCGTGGGAAAGGAAGAGCATCGCCGAACACCCAACCCATGGGCTGCGATAACTGTCCTCCAACAAGCGACTTTTCCAAGTGTCTGCCCACAGGGACCATGGGACAAAGGCCCCTCTCAAAAACAGCAGAGGCCCCTTTGTAGATGCTCACTTGCAACTTTTAATTGTTTCTGAGAATTGGGAACTGGGAGAAAGTTTTTTAAAAGTACTCTCAACTGCCCAGTTGCGAGATATCATTGAAAGTGATACAACATTCAAATGGAGGAAATGCAGGACAAACAGGAGTGCATAGATATGAGGGGGAGGGTTACAGGGCACGGAGGGGAGAAGAGTGGGTTAGGGTTGGACATGGCGAATGGGGAATGAGACTAAATGTACGCATTACGTTGAATGTAAAACAAGCTCTTAAAATAAAAAATAAATAAATAAAAATAAAAACATAAAAAAAGAAAGGTGATTATTTCAGTTCTGTAGGGATGTGAGGTCACAGAATCACAAAGCTTTACCTCAGGGCTGGCTTCTCCGCCTCCCACACACCCAAGGGCAGCCATGGCTGGCACCCTGTGCCCACTGTCCTGGCAGCACCAAGGAGTCAGGTGAGTATCCTCTGTCTCAGGCTGAGAGGCAGAGTCTTTGAAGAAAGGAGGAGGTAAGGGTCTGGTAAGTTCTCACATCTGGATTCTTCTGAGGTAGAAATGGGTTCTGAGCCAAAGCCAGACGTGGTTACCAGTTACTTTCCAGTCAGTTCTGACTTACAGCGACTTCCTCCTGTCTGTCAGTGTTGAACTGTGCTTCATAGCGTTTAAATGGCTGTACTCTTAAGGAAGTAGGTCAGCAGGCCTAGCTTCTGAGGAAGGTCAAAAAGAAGAAAGAATTGCTGAGACACTGAGCTTGTGGAGAGACTGAAGGTAGTGCACGCTCCCTAAGGGCTCCTGATGGATCGCTCTGAATCCCTCACTGAAGATGGTTATTGCACTTTGTTCAAAGCAGTAACGAGGGCTGATTGTATGATCTGTGAGATTGTGATCAATAATTAATCTGCTGTACAGAACTCACGGAGAAATGTTCACAATTACTAGAGTGATTTCAATCACAGTTGTGTGCATGTGATTTTGTGTTCGATGAAGTTGATTGGACTATTTCATTCTCTGTTTAAACAGTGTGACTGGGAACTGCTGAAATGGAACTATTTTCTGTTGCTTCCATTTGATGTGTTGAATGGAGACAGTATTTATGCTTTCTGAAAATATCTGTAATCTGTGGTTCAAGAAGGACCATGGTCCTTTGTGAATGTAGGGCAGGAGCCTTTAAGGAAAAGTTAACTTGAAAGATTCAGAAAGTAGAAAAAAAATAATAAAAAATAAGGACTTTGGCATTTTTCAGGCAACAATACGTCTTGTGACTGTTTTTCTGCCTGAAAAAAAATTGTAATGCCTCTTTGAGGCACATCCTCATGTTTCTCCCATTACAGTTTGTTCTTCCACAACTTTCCATGCCTCAACTTCTATTTTGTAAACTTGTATTTAATCTTTCTCCAATCTTATA